CTGGGCTCAAACCCCTAGCACTGAAACAAACAAAAAAGGGCCAGGCTCTGGAGAGTCATTTTACCTCTGAAGATGATGGGGTAGGGATTCAATGGGGGGTAGGCTGCTGCGCAAGTCATGACATATGCAAGGTTCTACTGCTGAACAAAATCTGACAAACGTGACGATGAACAGAGAGCATATCGATACATGTGAAATTATTCTCCATAACTTTCTGTACATTTGTAATGTTTCAGGATTTCACATTAATGCTTGCATGAATCTGTATATACACGCTAAGGAGCATAATCTGAGGTTTGGGTGTGAAACTAGATTATTGTCAAATGAGCTGCTTAAATAGCCACTGCTATAAAATATGTATATCTAGGGGCCAGGGATTTAGTCCAGTGGTTCTGCTGCCTGCAAGGACCTGAGTTCAATCCCCGGTACCAAAAAAACAAAAACAAACAAAAATATGTACATCTAATTATTGCCATCATTTTATGACTGTAAATAGTCAAGTAGAAGCTGGAAACTCTATCAGACAGCCAGGCTATCAAGATGCAGTACTGCAGCTGGGCTCTATGAGGCTGAGTGCAGTACCCAAAACCCATTCCAACCCTTCTCATCTAGGATACCTAAGACTAAAGGGGGTTTTAAAGCTTATTTCTTTAAAAAAAAATCTCATTTCTTCAAAAAATGAAAAATAAAGGTTTCTTGCCAAGTTCACTTGCCAGTCTCAGAGACTGGTTACAAGTTCAACTGCAAAAGCTTTGAAAACAAAGAGGAAGTGTGGATGTCAGGCTCTACAATGGGGCACCCGCGACTGTCTCCGGGCCATGGTCACCACCTGCTGGAAGCCCTTCCCCAAAGAAGCCCAGGCCAGGAGGAGAAACCAGGGTGAAATCTGAGGGGTGCTATTAATGACTAAAACCCTGGGCTTTTCACCCATATACATTTCTTGCTTAAGGCATTGTTCTCAAAAGCAATAATCCCAAACACGTAATTTCCCTTCTGCTAAATAAAGATAGGTCTGAATACAAAGTGGATCTTCCTTAGTTTAGCCCCACAAACACTTCAGAACTTGTCTTACTAATAGGAATGGGCTAAGATGGCAAGAACAAGACTAGGTACCTAGGGCCACTCTTAGTGTTTTATGAAGTCAAAAACTAATAAGAAAGAGATGTGAATGTTATACAGCCTATGTGTAATATCTTATTTATCTTCTGTTGCATTAAATAAGATGCATCTGAGATGACTGCAGAATCCAAACAGCTCAAAAGGGTCAATGTAATGCAATGTTAAAATATCTCCTTGGAAAATTAATTTTAAAAAATATCTCTTTGGACTGGCTCTTTTTTGTTTTATTTCTGATATCAAAGGGCTAACAAAACAAATGTGCTTATCATGGTTTCATTTTATTCAAAGTCAAAATAAATATATAATAAATGTAGCAGCTATAAGTTTAACATTAACACATGGACAAAATGTATTCCATTATTCTGAAAAAATATATTTTAAAATATTTTCCTTCAAGAACATCATAAAGATAGAAGTCTAGAAAATTAAATTAGTCATAAAAGTGCTAGATTTGATTACAGAAGAAGTGTTCCCAGTTCATAAGCACATTGCGTGTGTGTGTCACTATAAAAACATTTTGGTAGACATATACAAAATGTGCATAAAAATCATTATTTCTTTTCTGAATTAAGTTTGTGACTTGTGCCAGGTTTGATGGCACATGCCTATAATCCCAGCACTCAGGAGGCAGAGGCAGCAGGATTGCTTTGAGTTCAAGGCCAGTCTGAACTACACAGCAAGACTCTGTCTCAAAAAACAAAAACAAAAAACAAAAACAGAAATAGTTTGTGACTTATGACTTTAGTAATTTACTCCTACTTTATGACTTATTTGCTTATATGCATTACTTCATACTATCTCCCAACACAGTAAAAATAACTACTATACATACAATCATGTGAAAAAAATGATTTGCTGTCACATTTAATGTCAAATAGTACATCACAGAGATTGAAAGTCATCAGGAACTTTTGAGCAGGAAGCCTAAAAATATTAAGAACGACACACAACTTCAGTGCACAGGGCAGGGCAGGGCAAGGCAAATGTTCCAAGTGATCAGTTTTCAGATCTCCACACACCAAGCCTCCAAATGTATTTATATCTAAGCAGCAACCCCACATCGCTGAGGCTTGTCTATCCTGGTCAAACTATTTACTGCACAAAACAGATGAGTCAGTTATGACTTACTGTGACACACTGTAGAACTCTTACTGTCAGACCCACCATCTAAGATTTGTCAGGTCTTACTTATGGTAAATATAAAAATTACAGATTTCTGGGCCAGGGATTTAGCTCAGCGGTTCGGTGGCCTGCCTTGCAAGTGCAAGGACCCGAGTTCAATCCCCGGTACCAAAAAAAAATTACAGATTTCTGGAAATTAAACTCTAAATACTGTTTCAAAGCAAAACAGAATATTTGTAGATCCTTAGTTGTTTTCGGCCCATTTTCCTTGAAAATACACACAGATGACTGATATCTTTATCTTTCTGCTGATAAAAGCACAACTTTACTCAGCTATTGTTACTGCTGAGAAAAACACAACATGCCCTGCAGTGTTAAAATAATTTAAAACCACACAACCTTAAAAGTTTCAAGGAACATTTTCCTCTAATGGCCTCAAATGAGTATTGTGCCTTTGGTCTAAGGAAAGGTTCTTGTGTTTTAATTACTACACAAGGAACAACGGACTATAAAAGTTCTTGTAGCAGCCAAAGTTTAAACTTCTTAGCCTGGCTTCAGCATCAGTAATTCAGGACATTTTTTCACAGATAATAGTAATGCAAGAGAAAACATCATTTTATCACAACACAATAGCACAGAGAATGGAAGGAAGTTCTGCAAAGCCCCAAGACAAGCATAAAAGGACACATACACCTCCACCTGCCCAGTTCAGGCACAGGAGGGCAAAGATGAAGGCCACCAAGATGATGGTGACTGCACCAGGCAGTCCCCTCAGGAGCTCTGACTTTAAGGAACACATAAAGTATAGGCCCTATTTCTCTGTGGCAATATAACTTTATCAGTGCATTCTCAAAGCATTCTTGAACACCCATACTTAATGGTGTTTTCAATATCTGAGCAACACCGATGAAAACAACCATGGATATAACTTTTCCTAAATGTCCTGCTTTCCCACATTAAGCTGAAAATGGAAAGTATGAAGCCCAGGCCCTTCTGGAATGTGGGAAAGCAGTACCACAAGATAGCAGTTAACAATCCAGGAGATGGCCTTGGTCTGGCCTTCGAAGCTCTCTGCAGCTCTGCACCCTACCCCACTGGGCCAGGGCAGGCTCAGAGGGGACGAAGCCAGCCCCCCTCCCAGCCCTGCCCCTTCCCGCACAGGTCCTCAGCCCCAGGTGTTAGAAAAGGGAGGGTTTAAGGTAAACACTTATTATCAATAAAATAAAATAAAATAAAAGTACAAATGTGATTTCTAATTAAAGGAACACAATTAATACTGACAAACTCAAGCTGGCAATATGTAGACTATATGGCTTCCAGGAAAACCTTAAGGAGGAAAATGAAACAAAGAGAACAAACCAGCCTGACATCTAGTCACTGGAAGATGCCATGAGCTGCTCTGATTACACAGTATGACTGTTGATCAGTGCTCCTCTGATGTCCCTAACCCTTCAGAATGAAGACACACATACAAGGCAGACACACATTTATCTCTGCCACGGATCATCTCCCCGCCTCCTAGCATCCAGAATTAAATAATTTTAGTGAATGCTTTTTTCAACCAATGTCCAGACCATCCCTAAATTAAATGTAAGGATTCAAACTACTTAGCCTCTTCTGTGTGTCCAGAAAAGCTGGGAGTTCTATTTCCTCATCACCAGGTAAGGCCATGGTTAAGGAAGTTTTCCAACTTCATATTTCAGGGATGATCATCAAAAACAAATGAACCAGGGCTGGGGATGTAGCTCAGTGGTGCCGCCGCCTGCCTCACAAGCACAAGGACCGGAGTTAATCCCCAGTACCAAAAAGAAAAGAACCTGATCACTTTTATTTAATATTCCTTTACTATAAATGCTTTTCTAGAAGCCAGTGGCCAACTGTAAGAGTTTTCCTGAATGTTAAGAGGGTACTTTATGTGCATTAATAAAGAAACCAGGATACGTTTTATTATAGTCTTTCCAGGAAAAGATGAAACCTCCAGTGATTTCACGGAGACACAAAACTCAATCACCCCGACATACTTGAAAGCCTATGGTGTTGGGCTGCTATCTTCCTATATATAGATAAGTTCCTCCAGAAACCTGGTTATATCTTAAATTGTTTTCTTTTCACTTTTGCTGCTAAATCAATAGAGATTTTGATCTGTGCTCTAAGAAAAGGCATGCACCCTACCAATGCTTCCACTGTAAGTAGTCTAGAAACTGAACATGTGAGGAAACTTTAAAATGTTTTGATTTGTGTGCTAATGTCGCAAGGTCAAAATGAAAAATTTCAAAGTGGGATCCTACATTTTATTTCCCAAGTTCTGGAAGTATGCTACTACTGTACAGGTTATGGAATTAAATTAACCTTTCACCCTCCTCCCCAATTAGGCATTTAGTCTAGAAATCATGTAAAAAGTTCCCCCTCGGAAGGCTATTTATTAGCATGAGATTTTATAAGGAGGTTTCATATAAAGAGTACTGGGGAGTAAGTGTGAATTTAAGTACTCCCCAAAACACTGAATTTATGCAATAAGAGAATGAATGGGGCCTTCTTTCAGATCCACTCCCAGATCATTTGGAAGGGAGGTGCTCAGAGGTACCGGCACTGACATAATTCAGATGCAAAACAGGTAGACAATGAATGCACAAAATCAACTTGGTTTGAAAGGGTCCTGTGAGTCAGGACAGACTGCAGAGGGCATGACTGGACTGTTCGCCATTATTATCTAAGGGAGTCTGGGACCGGCACATCCCTCCAGACAGTCAGGGTCCTACCATGTCTCCAGGCTTGACAAAGATGGCCACCACCATTCCGGGCATCGGGGAGCACAGAGTGCCGCTTGTGTCTTCAGCCACTTTATCCAGCATGAATCTGTTCAGCTCTGCAGCAAGTTTGGTTAGGATATGCACCTTGTACTTGAGGGAAACAGAACAAAACAAAACCATGAAGTTATTTAAATGATGAACTTTTCCTCCAAAGTATTGCCCATTCAAAATCAGTTTTAGTTTTAAACTAAAATTGCAAAATCAATAAATCAAATGTTGTAAAATCCTCATACCCAACATCAAAATATATTTATTTGTTTCTAGCATACATTGTAAGCCAGTTATATGCTTAAAATTTCTTGAAACAAGAACTACTCTAGTTATTAATCAGTGCTACATAATAATCATCCTGGTTCCTTAAGGGCAAACATCACAGAACTTTATAAATAAATAGAAAACAGTGAAAACTGTGTTTGTATTTCCTATACTGTTTTCAGACCTATCCTGAAAAAGGTGAACCCCACGAGCCGGGCTGGTCAACGGGGTAAGGGTGATGGCACTGTGAACACCTGCCAGTAGATGGCAGCAGATTGCTTTCTCAAACCACCTGCACCCTCCAGAGACCGGCTGCCCTGCTTGTATCAGTAAGTTAAGACAAAGGGTTTCAGTGTTCATTTGGGGCAAAACAATCTTTGAAATTCAAATATTTCTCAGTGACGGAAAGTTTTATATTCACAATAGAAAAAGTGTACTCCTCCTTTTAGGCACAGTATCATGTAATCTTTCTGGTGTAAAAAGATAAAGATAACATATAATAAAAATACCTTCTGGACTGAGAGACCATAGAGTTTGAAAACAGGGAGAGAAAAATCATATGCACAACCAGGTATTTCCACTGTACCTTTTGTAGGTGGCTCTCAAACACTTAGGGGTACATTAGGACAAGTCTGGTCAAACAGAACACCTGTAATAAAGATAATTCCTACTGGACAAGGAAAATCCTAGATCCCAGTGAATAAACAGATGAGCCACAATTTGTTCTATCAGATGAAATGGCCTGAAGAAGAGTTCCTTGGGAAATCAGAGCCACCACTTAAAGATCTCTGGATTCCCACCGGATCCAGTCCCACGGTGAGACAGAAGCACACAGCAGCTCTGGTTTACTACAGGAAGCTGCTGTACCAGAACCTCCTGGGGAACCATGTGGGCAGGGAGGCAAGGACAAGCCCAGGTCACCCTCTGATTCAGTATGGGGATGCAGAAACCTTGAAGTGGGCTCTCTGCGGGGCCTATTTGGAAGGGATGGGGGAGGGCCGATGAACAGCTCTGGAGGCCCAGGTTCCAAGTAGATTGTGACACCGTGGCAGGTTGAATAATAACATCTTTTGCATGTTTCTTTACTCCTGAGTGTGTGTTTTGCAATCAAGACATACAAGTGTCTGCCAGTTTCTGAAGGATATGATCCTTAAGTGAAATTACAGTGCAAATAAAAGCTTTTTGCTCCTATTAAAATTCATCTGAGTCATAAGTGGCACAGGGAAAAAGCAAGGAGAGTGCATGCTGCTGTCAGTCTAATAAACATTCTGGGTAGAGGGACTATTTATCAACGATGAATTGTACCTCCAAGTCCTTCATTAAATCTATGGGGGGATAAAAGGGGGGAATATAATTGGACCAAATTGCAGTTTTATTATCTGCGCTCTGCTTTGGAAAGGAAAACCCAGGATCGGCACAGGCAGGAGAGTTAACAGAAGGTAACTTTTGTGGGGGTATCACCCTAGGATGCTCCTTCTATTGGTGTGGTCAACATTGAGCCTCCTTGTTAGTCTTCAATGTATCACAGAGTTTTTTCCCCTGGTACTGGGGATCAAACTCAGGATCTTGTTTGCCAGGCAGGCGAGGCACCAGTGAGCTACATCCCCGGCCCCACATACAGATTTTTCCCCTTGTTTTTTGTACAATTTGACTTCAAAATGTATGCTCTGATTTTAAGAAAGTTATCTGTAAACTGAAAAGAATATAATGAATATATGGTCTTTCACCATAGCAGGTACATTTAAGAACTAATTTTATCTCTATCACAAATATGCCTCAGTAAAGTCCTAAGATTGTATTTAGTACCTCTTCTGCCCAGAAATGACCAGATCTGGGCTAAAACTGGATCCTTTTACTATTTTTATAATTTTCATATCTTCTGGATTCCTTTCACTGTAGGGCTCCTGCTTTGCTTGGAAAGAGATGTAAAGGAGTCATCAAACTCAATGCTTTTAGATGCAGTCTTTGTTACTGATGAGATGTTCTTTTTCTTTTGTATTTGTTTATTGTTCTTAAATCTATTTGGGGGATAAGCAACTCATTGTAATCACAAGTAAAAAATAACAGTGGAGCAAACTCCTTGGGAGAAGCCTGGCTGCACAGTCACCTCAGAAGTGACCTTTCTGGATATAAAAAGGGGAGGCAAAGGGAAGGTTCTTTTCTTGGGGTTACCTTTGATGCTGTCCTCTGACCCCGCCTGTGTCAGGTGCCCACACAAAACACCCTCTCAACGCAGCTTCATGGTGCCTGTGCAGGGCACCGGGCGCGTGCCTGGCTGTGGCCCAGCAGGGCACAACATATGGGCCACCATGTTAACGGCCTGGCGAGAACTGGA